TTTTCAGAGTTTTCAAAGCTCATTAGTGTTACTATTATTAACATGTTTTTATCGTTTAAGTAACGATAGTCGTTTAATTCAAAAAAACAAACAAACAAGCATCTCTGAGGCTAGAAATTTTATAATAAAAAAGATGAATTGATTACTAGATGGAAGATTTCATAAAAAATGAAAATAAATACATGTACCGTATGTTACAGCTGATTATTATGGGACCTCAAGATAACCTTTCGAATGCAAAAAGTTCGTGAAAACTTATTCACTTGCGTCGATTAAAAGTAACCTCAAGAACGCAAGAGACATTTTCCCATGGAACGAAAACCACTACGATTTCATAAAAAGCGAGATTATAGTTAAAAACTTAAATTTCAACGAAGGGAAATGTAATTTTCATCTAGAGCTGTTGCCAAAAAATATGGTTCCGTTTCTTCGACATATACCCATTTTCATCAAAATCTACGCGGCTAGTTGAGCAGATATCGCAAGAAAACTGCAAGCCCTTTATAAATAAATTTACACAGGTTTAAGACTATAAGATATTATCTGCTTTGTGGGAAGAGCTTGCTTATACCACAGAATAGATAAGGGCGTGCAACAAAATATATTTATAAAATAATTCAAATAGTACGCGCGCTCTGATTGGCCATAAAACCATTTTACATGAGCGTATGTAAACACGGTTTTCGTTCCTCTTTCATTAGTTACTTTAGAAAAGAAATGTAAAATGGTTTCCGTGTTTACATAGCCTGATGTAAACACGGAAACCATTTTACATTTCTTCACTATAAATCAAAAAGTGATTCAGATCGTGTAAGGATTAAGTTCCTACTCCGAAAAGGGTTGGGAAGTTTCCAAGGCCCTTAGAAGAATGGCATCTTTCATGCTAAGAAATACCAGTAGGTTGCAAGGAAATGTAACAGGAGAATTACACAACCGAGTTAATTCCTTATCGAGCAATTCTAGCACCTTCCATTCTTCTTGCCACAGTGATATTATTTGGCAGTTCTCTTGTCGTCGCATCCCACAACATCAACAGGCGAACGCGTTTCTCGTTAGCTCAGCCGTGTCGGATTTCCTGGTCGGAGTATATCGATACCGATGTGGATCTACAATATCATCATTGTTTGTCGGTGGCTTCTTAATTCCTGCAGCCATCATATTGTGTATGTACGTGGGTGTTTTCTCAGGGGCACGTTCCCTTCTTCAACGTAATTCACATCACCTCTCCGCAGGTCGACAAAGCAAGGGAAGCCTAATGGGCCAATACTATCGAGGGAGAGGAAAGTCAGACGTCACAGGACTCCACTTGAGAGGCTCTGAGCCATTATACCTCATCCCTTTCATTGTCAAATAAATCTCAATTAATCAATCAGCCGATTTTTTAATCGAAACACAGAAACACAATAGTTATATATAGCAGGGGCGTGGCTAAGATTTTACAAAGACGGTAGGGGGCAGTAGCGAATTTCCAAGCGCTTAACGTTAGGTATTTTTACTGCTCATCTTCCCTGGGTATCTGCGGGCTCATGTCCACGCGATGAGAAGGACTGGTAATGGAGTGTCCCCCACCAGATAATAATTGACGCAAAGCAGATTCTTCAGGGTGGTGCGTTTTCAATTATGATATCAGCAAGTTATGTTCTAAGCCCCGGTACCGTTACGTCTTTGTAAACTTTCAAAGTTGGCTTACCACTAACCTGAGTATAAGTTTTTCAGTTTTACTCAAAACAAATGTCTTGAGGCTTATGATAACACCCCAGCCCCATGATTCAATATCTCATTCATTTTCAAGACCCGTTACACGCTGAACTAACTGCAGCTAATGTTAAGAAGTTAAAAATAGATATACTTCTCCGTACAAGCCTTGATGAATTAAAATGCGGAATTGCTCGTTGCGAAGCCGATTTGTGCGGAAAATTACAAACGATTGTAGACGGCGCGTAGTCTATTTCAGTGACGATTATGAGCAAAGAACTTGTATATAATCCCGTCAAACGCAGAAAAAAAACTTGCTCTCGAACGCAAACTGAAATCTGATCGAAACATAAAGATTGTAATTTCTTTCGACATCTTTCTCGGTAGATGCTGAAAGATCTTCAAATCAGGAAGGGTACTTGTTTTGGAGGGAAGCTTAATTTTATTCTTTAAATTTATTATTAAACTAAAGAAGACAAGTTTTTTTATGCAACGTTATCACAGATGATTACAACTAACAGCATTTTCTGGGGTTCGTTGAAATCGTCAGTACGGTATAATTAAAAAGCAAGCGGTGAAATTGGCAGGTGTAACTGGATATACAAAACAAATTTTATATTTTAAGAACAGATACCACAGAAAAAAGAATTAAACCTCGGACCTCCCTTTAAAACTATATAAACATTGTGTGAAAATGAAAAATGCATAGGAAGGTCTTCGTTCGACAGTATTTCGCCTTCGTCCGGGCAGCTCGACAGTCTTACTTGCAAAGTTCTCGCATCATTCATCGGAAGGTTTCAGATCAAACAAATATATGTTACTTATCAAACAGTAAGATGAAACTAACTGCAATTGGTAAACAAGCCAAATCCATGCTATCGGAGCACATCAATTAAACTGACGGCATGCTTTTCCACTGAGGGCTGACCTTCTTGAGTTCTCGCCAAGTGAGCAGCCTGCGAATACCCATTTATACTCTTGGGCTTGGAGGGCACGGTAAAATTAAACTGTCTTACATAGGAAAATAATGGAATAGCTTGGACAGGACTTCTGGACCTGGGGTGCAGCTTACTCAGAAATCATCGATCTAGAGTGACCCACATGGTTTTCAGGAATTCTAGTAAACATTTCATTAACTGAACCACTCACATGATATTGCACACCACTAGAACTACCTAAATGATAACACTGTATCGTGCGTCCAGTCAGTTGTTTAATTCCCCATGGCTTTTCTTTTTTGGCGCGCAAACGACGATTGACGCGCTTAAGTCCTAACAGAGTGAGAAATGTTTTTCTCATTTCACTGTCCCGCTGAGCATACACTAGTGGGTTCACACCGCTGTTCAGGTAGTGCCCACCCTTAACAATAGCAACAAGCCATGTGAATGTTTTCTGCGACGAAGGAAGACAGTGAAAGCAATAGGCAGCCATGATAGATACAGTAAAAAATGGCACCCAGTTAGCGATGAACAAACCTGTGATGAATGCCACGGTAATAGCCACTTTTCTCTCCCCTTGATAGTATTGGCTCATCGGGCTACCTGTGCTTTGTCGACCCCCTGGGGAGTGGTGCGGGTTACGTTGAAGAAGAGAGCGTGCTACTGAAAAAACGCCCGCGTACATAAAAAACATAATGGCTGCCGGAATTGCGAAACCGATGATAAACATAACAATGGCATATACTCGACTGTTCCAAGGGATTTTAAAAACAGATGGCATGGTAAAAGACGAGAGAGAAGCCAGTAGGCCGGCGACAAGCCATGCAGATGTTATCATTGCCCGTTGAAACAAGGACGGTAAACTTTTATAATAAAACGGTCGAGAAACGGCTATGTAACGTTCGATACTAATGGCGGTCAAATGGTAAATGGAAGCCAGAGCTGAAAAGACATCGAAAGTTTTGTAAACGGCTTTAAAAGGGACGGAACCATTATCTACTATGATGATGTTGTAGATCCACATCGGCATCGATATACTTCCAACCAGGAAATCCGACACGGCTAAACTGACGATAAATGCGTTTGTTCGAGTTCTCAGTCGCCGGTTAATCTTGTAGGATGCGACGACAAGAGCATTGCCAAATAATATCGCAACAGTGAGAAGAATGGAAGGTGCTTGAATGGCGCGGAGAGGTACGTAGTGGGGCAGCTGCCATTTGTCAGTGTCATTTGAATTCTGGATGCTCGTGGTATTAACTAACGCTAGTGAATTCATACAGGCTTTCCTGTGATAACAACTGTGTAAAAGAAAAATCACAATTTTCCACGAATG